ATTCGTAACACTCTATTTTCCTTTAAATAAAAAAATATTTTTTCTTAGAAAGATCATTTTTGGCACCGCTGGCAAAATTATGTGCGGAAACAGTCTCGTTTAGCCATCTCGTGGTAATCCTACTCGATGAAATGTTACCGAATATGTGTGTAACCATCAGGAGCTATTGTAAAATATTATTTAAATCTCGTTATAGCACCTACTTTTGCAACCTCGTTACGATTCAGAAATCCTTCTTCAGGATTTCTTCGACATGTCACAGTTCAGAATTAACCCCTTCCCGTACCATTTAGCTCGACGAAACTCGGGCCGGAAGCTGATGTTTATGTTTGACCCGACTATCTGTTTACGAGCCTGGCACGTGATATTCATGTTTGGGCAAAAATCTTCATCACGAGTCAGACTCGTCAAAGTACGGCAAATGTTTAATTTCTTTAGCTCTACGACGAATAGTCCTATCACATGTTTAACTTGATATTAATAATGTCTATCTTGACTCAAAGTACATCTTGAAACGATAATAATTCGATCATACTCTCGAAAAAACCGTGATTTCAGTCGAAAACCACATAGAAATCGGTTTAGACGCGAGTACAAATTGAGTGGGAAAAAAGTGATGCATACGCCAATGGAAAAATGACGAGTCGCAGAAATCCGAGGAATAATCTGACATTACGCCAATGTCGATTCCTCGAGCACCGGCCAAAAAAAAACTACTACGCGCTCGAGTTTACGTTTTTTTTTCCTACACGTGAGGGTTCGGCTCGCACGTTTAAATGCTCGGACAGTTTTTTCCTCATCCTTTTTCAGTCATTATATACATCTCTCCTTCTCACTCCCATACGGATAGTATTCGCTATCGATCGATGTAGTATTTTTTTCTTCACTCGGCTCTTCACTTGTTTCGTTCCGGTAGTGCGTAACGTAAACTTCTAGGAATTGATGGCGACCAGCCCCCTATTCCACCCCGGGCTCGATTCACGTAGGTAGACTCGGTCCTCTCGTGCGCCGTTCGCTTGAACTTTAAAGAATCACAGCTCGGTCTAGAGTTGTGCGATTCGTTTCGGAGCAAATTCGAATCTCTTCGGAATACAGCGGCGATCAATGAACAAACTCGCACCCAAAATAGAAAGAAGGACTACCCCTTTAAAAAGAAAAATACCAAAAACTGATACAGTTTAAAAGTCAACCTCTCATCTCTAAATTTGATCGTAGCCAAAAAAAAACGACAGTTTTTCATTCTAAATTATTATTGCAAATTGCTCTAGCATTTCATTCGTCTCATTTGCATTTCCTTCTTCTTTTATTGTAGTTGTCAAGTTTCCATTTCTTCTTTTGCATAAATTTCTTCGAATACATTTTTGCTTCTTCATTTTCTGGTGATTTAGGAATTCTTCTCGCCGATGGCTTCGCGTCGCTGACAACGTTATCAAGCAAGCCCTTCTGGATATCGACGTTAAAGTTTGCAATTTAATTGGATAGCGCGTAGCACGGCGAGTACACATCTTGGAAACTCGAGGCTGCGGAGTCGTTAGATCCACCGCGGGTCACGATTTCGGAGGGGTTCGCTCCGGTCGCGGAATTTCCGAAAAGACGACGGAGTCGCCGTTGATGCATTCAGGACGCGTCGTCGGAGGACGCTGACACGCACGGGGTGCGAATTTTAAAATCTATTCTCCGTGCTCGGCCGTGTAAGAGACACCGGGAGCCGGCGGAACAGAAGGTAAAAAAAGAAATAATGGAATTTGCATAGATACAGAGAGTAAATCGCGTCGCGGAATAAAAAGTTCCTCGGCCCGCGGAAATAAGAGCAACGACCCTCGCAGTGCCGTGGTACACGTGGGGAGGGCGTGTTAACCCATTCAGTTTCATTTTCCCTAAATGGCAATAATAACTCTCTCCTAATTTATGAATTTTACATATCAACGTCTGAGTATACGCACAGGAATAAATAATCGGTCCTATTCCCCAAAGACATCGGAATAATATTAAGTCTACCGGAAAGTTCTGTCCGTTTTTAGAATAAAACAAAATAATAGATTTCTTATACCTTGAATCAATTTTATTGAATAATATTATTTTTATCATTATTTATGACATCTTGCCAGTGTGATTCCAATTTGTATATCATTTTTAACGAATATGCGGATACTCGTTGAAACTTGTTGTAACCGGAACGGTCAGAACTTTCTGGTAGACCTAATATTTATAACTTCATTAATACCAAAACGAGTCTCATAAAAAAATTCATGTAACATCTTCATCGATGCAATAATGGATACAAAAAATGTCAGTCCGACATATCAACTTCTCCTGTCTTGGAACAAATTTTAAAGAATCCTTGATATCACACATTTTTGGACCTAGGACAGAACTCCCACAATAACTAAATAAATTGAAATACATTCAAGTATCGCGATTTAAGCAATACAGGGCGATTTCTTAATCGTGGTATCGCCATGAAACAAGCTCGAAAGATTCGTTTCATTAAAACAAAGCGACTCGGGCGTCGCTTTCGCGCAGCCTCCGCGGCGATCGCCTCTTATTAATACCGCTAACGGATTGTGGCGATATAAACCGATAAAATTTACTGGAACCATAAAATATTTTACGCGCATCCAGTCGCTTAAGTTCCTACTTAGCCCGAGCCTATCTCTGCCATAAATTTGGTCCTGCGAACGCGCCAATGAAAGAAGGGAACGCGAAGGAGACAGGAGAAGCGCAAGTGAAAAAATTCCCTTTTCCCTCTGACGTGGCTACGGTTCTCGAAAACGCTTACAAAAGGAAAACCGTGGATGACGAACGTAGAAAGGTATGTCTAGAGATTGCTCGAGGTTAGCATGCACGCAGGAACGTAAAGATCGAGCGCGTGGGTGGGTTTGATCTAGGGCTGCGACTATTCCGCTAATTTAATATTCCAGCTTTCAATTTTTTATTGTTTTGGTTAATGGAAGGGTGGACTCGATGCTTATGAGTCCAAGGAGGATAGAACTTGATGTATAGTTTCTATTATACTATTTAAATACTGCCTACTATTAGGTTGTCCCAAAAGTTTCTTCCGCTTTATTAATAAGTAATACATGTACAATATTTTATGTTTTATGTTACATTACTGAATTGTGCACGATTCATTTTGCTCCATTACTGTTACAACATGAATATCTACGAAATTAGATTGTCTATTTATAGAAACACGACCACATAAAATAATTGAGTGCAACTCGCGAAAGAAACTTTCGGGACAACCTAATACATCCATGCGTACTCGAGCAGCGCATAAATCGTTAATGCTTGAATAATCGAACTGTCAGAATATTCCAAGTACAGGGAAGACCAAGTGTTCACCCTGTTCGATCAACGACGAGGAATCAAAGTCGCCGGAAGAAACGTGTCGCTGGTTGACTCATTCCCAGCGAATTGGAGAGCACACGACGCCCCGGTTCCTGCATTTCCATGCGCAAGGTGCAGCGTGCGCATACTGCAATCAGAGTGCACGTACATTCGTGCCGCGCAAGAGACAGAACTGTCCGTTGACGTCATCGGGACAATTTATTCGACTGACGGGAGTTCGACGTGCCCGTGGAACGTAATACCTGCCACGTCAAAGACTATCCTGCTTTATTTTATTTACTTTTCGGCGAGATCCTACAGAGAAGTGCAACTAAGTCTCATGAACGACGTGGAAAGACTTTATGTTAGAATTACCTTTTTTCTTTTTAAGGTTCAGGACGAAATAAATCACTTCTGTATAACACACGCTGTTTATTCTAGTGATTTATTCACTCTTATAATGATTATAATATAAAATGCGAAGGAAGATGTTCGAACCTCAACGACCCATACTGGCTGTCTTATTTACTAACACTTTATATACCAAGCGATTTGTATAAATACTTGTATGAAGTATTTGGAGTACACTACAGTAAATGAATGTTTGTATTTTTGTTTCCTAAATTATCTTATGATTTAAATAAGTCTAAGCTCTCATGGAGATTCGATCTATCGAATAATAATATTGCGGTGTATAAAAATGTTAAAGTTATGTGTTACTTAGCTACATTTCTCCTTATCACCCCTAAAATGAAACCGAGCGACCCACTGCGAGGACACAATCTCCTCTCCGCCAACTACGAGCACAAAAGTAAATGATTCCATCGCGTCCAAAGTACCCTCGGATAAAATCGGTCGATCCTTTTGTCGCGTAACTACGATCTCCATCAAGAAAACTGCCAATAAACGTTAAGTTAAACGGCAAGCAATTGCAGTAAGTAGTGACTAATCAGATTCGACGTTTCAAAACGACAATCGGTCCGACCTCGTATTGCGAGTCGGTGAAACTGGTCAAGGGTATCAGGGCAATTTTCACTTGAAAAGGATCGAATACTCCGGGTTCCTCGTGAATGGTAGCCAGGGATACGAGGTTGAAAGGACAGCCCCGGCGCAGTTCCTCTGTCGGTTTTCTATTTTCTAATTGCACAAGCCACGGGACACGTCCCTGGGATTAATTCTGACCCAGTCCAGCGTTTCATCCCTCTCTTCGCGGGTCATCGATCCGAGATCCGAAGCGATCGTCGATGCGTGAAACGACATTAATCGGGGGCCTTCTCGCACAGATAACGAGGCTCAGCTGCGAGCTGACGAAGGGGAGCTACCGTGTTCGCCGACGATGAAGCGGTAGTCATAGAAAGGGTTGTGCACGAGTGTCGAGCGCATAACGTACAAATTATACGTGGCCACGGAACGGGTGATTTGCACGCGACTAAACGAACCATGGAAAACCGTTATCGCGGTAACGTGCCAAGTATCCATCGAGAGATATCTGATACACTCGTCGGGTCGTCGCGTCCTGGACTGCAAAGGCACGCAAATTTTAGCTGCTTTAGGTATTTCAGAACTCGAGGAACGTCTTAACGAGCCTACCGAACGTTTCGGTGCCGGAGTCGGTGATCTGCGAGCCAATTTATCTATGTGTACGAATAAAGAGGGATGATTATACATACATGACTCGCTCGATGTTAGTAGCGTGGCTCATCGATGGCCCACGTGATGACAAATGCGTTAACCCCTTGGAACCTGGAATTGAAACGCACTTTTCGATCTGGTCTCGCTAATCGATGGGGTTAGAGATTGAGGAGCATAAATATGAATACGAGGATGTAACATATACAGGTAATCCCCGTTTATCGCGACCCCGACGAGTGTGGATTCGTTATATCGACATATTCGTTTATCGCGACCATGTCCAGATCGCAGCCTTCGCGATGAACAGGGGTTATCTGTACTAAGAAGAATCTTGATTATTGCAAGGACCTGGGTCTGAAAACTATAGCTAATAACTACCTTAAACAGGGCACCTGTGACTGTCCTTGCAGCTCTGACAAGGAAGAAACAAGTGCACAGGTGACACACCCGCTGAATCCACCCGACGACGTTCGCCAATCGTTCAAATTGAATTTCCATCCGACTTTGCCTAGCGTTTAGCGTCATCTTGCGCCGAGCGCTTTGAAAAGTACCACGGAACCCCCGAGCAGCGAGTAATTTCCACAATTAGCGTTCGCCTCTCGGCACATAGTCGACGCGCCTCGCCTTATTTATAGTTCCCGGTATGTCCCGCGGTTCGAAGGTTTCACAAAGTACCGTTAGGCGTTGTCTCCGTTTAGAGAGACCCCCAGAGTTCACGAGACTGTCATCTTTTTATTTCAAATTTGGCGACCGATGCGAACGACCTTTGTGGCATTGTTATTTTGTATTGCTACTGAAAATCGTGGAAGATGAAGAGGTAAACGCAGCCCTGTGCAAAATAATTGATTTTTCCCTGGAAGGCCTACAGAGAGTAACGTGTTTAACAGATTTCTGAAGATCGCGACCGTTCGACAAAAGGGCCCTTCAGCGAGTCTGGGAGCAAACTGATAAAACGAAAGACTGGTCTCGTCGAACAGCACGCACACGTATGCACGTACTCGGCGAACCGTCGATTTGCCGCATACCCGACAGCGTTACTTTTGTATCGAGCTACGCGACCGCGTAACTCGCCCACACGTACACACCGACACGCATACATGCTCTGGCAAATAATTACAACCTCCTAGGAGAGAGAGGGAGGACAACCAGAGGCCTGGGTGAATCGGGGCGAGAGGAGAAAGAGGACCAAACGAGCCACAGTTTCAAAAAGCATCCCACCGATAATACCCATATTCCCCGGCCATCGAGACCCGCAGAGCTGCGCAAAATTCCAGACCCGTCGCGTTCTCTCCCTCTCTCCCCCCACTTCCGTTCACCCCACGCTCCAAGAGCAGGCTACTGGTTCCCCGTGCTACGCGATATCGCCGGGAGCGACGATAATATAAAGCTCCGTCGCTCTGCTCTAGCCGTCGCGGCGCTACCGTGCCGACTCGCGTATCTACAAGGCGTTTCAGAAAAATGGATCGAGACTAACCACAAAAGTTCCTTCGACCAAACGGAATCGAAAAGTCCTTTACCATTTTGCAACTCTATCGCTCGTTTTCGAGATACGATTGTCGTACGACTGTCGTTCGCGACAGTTTTACGAATGGATTGGCGAGACATCTCCGATGAGAATGAGTACAAACATGACCCCACTCGGAGTGCTTATAATTTTCATATGTATATATCCAATGCCTAGATGAATGATATACGATACAATAAACTTCCCTAGCAAGATATGAAGATGCGTAAACGATAGCGAATGATGACTCCTGATCGCTTTATCGATAACCGAGGTAATGTTTGGATCTCGAGAACGAAGCCATAGATCGCAAAACGGTCCAGGATTTTTCGACTCCTCTCTTCGTCCCATCTTTTTGGAACGCCTTGTACAGGTATACGAACGCCAGATAGACAACGAAGAAGGGACCAGAAGAGGCTAAAACACGCGCGTGTGTACCAGAGCGCGCAAGCTTTCATCCTGCCCCGCACACGAACATAAGTCGGAGCGCACACACGCGCTCACGTATGATCGGACAAAAGGTAATCGCGAAGAGCTGGCTGTCGTTCGCGTCGACTGGGTCTCTGGTCGCCGTGCCTGCGCCCGAACGGTGACACGCGGCGGTGAGGTCGCGAAGAGAGGATAGAAGAGAGGAGGCAGAGAATCCGCTGAGGAGAACGAGGAAGGGACTCTTCACCGTGGAGGAAGAAAACGCACAAACGAAGAACGCGACCGAGAGAGAAAGGCGCGGCCAAGTAACGAGCAGGAACGTTCGTAGGAATCGCATCACCCTGGTGTAATCGCATATCTGCCAACAATTATCGATTCATTTTAGAAGTACTATATCCAGCATCGCTCCAAAATACTGTGATCGCTCCAAAATACTCAAGATTCTTTTAAGAATACCTGCACGAAGCAGAGAAATGGTCTAGGTATGTACTTCGATAAGTGGCTCTACCTAAGAGTAAAGATCACAATTCGACATGAAATTGAGAATCTTGCATTCCCCTTGCCTCCATCCACGAATGTCGTGGCAGTCACTGTGTCACAACCCCCTTCTGCAACCACATTCCCCCAAAAAGGGGAATATTGAATAAATCGAGTTAGCCACGAAAACCAAACGTTATTCTAAAAACTGCCTTCAGTTTCCACGCTTCTTCCTTGCGAATATCGCCACCCCCGCAGCCAGGAGGCACGGCTCGCGCCTGGTAATAGGGAGAGAGCGGGCAGGGTGGCCAGTGGGGTGAGTCGGCGCGGGAACGAGCGGTTTCGTGGGTCGGTGGGTGGACCGGGTTGAAGCGTAGCGGACCGAGATAGAGGCAGAAACGGCGCAAAGAGAGGCGGTGGCTTGGTGGGACGAGGTTAGGCGAACGGCGGGGGCCAAGAGCGCGTAGTAGAGCACGTGGGGGCAGGAGGAGGGGCGGAAGCGGTGGAGGACGGAGACACACGCTACGAGAGGCGCTGGCTGAGCTTGCGAGCACGCGCTACTACTCTTCGAGGTTCGAGTTCTATCTGGCCCCGTGTCCCTCCTGGTCGCCATACTTCTTTCTCTCTTGTACGCGTTCTCTATCCCACTCTCCTTCTCTTTTCTTCGGCCCCAGGCACTCGAACCTCTCTCGCTTACGCTCGTTCACTCGATTCGCCTCGTTCGTCCTCCGCGAGTGCGTTCTCTCTTCGTTCCACCGCGGTCCGAGCTGTCGCCTTTCTCCGTCCTACTCCCACCGGGTTTCGTTCCTGACACTCCAACCAGCTTCCCTGCCCCTACCCCGGCCCAACCCACAGGCCGCTCTTCATCGCGACAGTCGCATCGGTTCTCATTCTCCGCGTCCTGGTCGCGTTGTATTCGTAGCTCGTACGTGTGCGTCGGAGAGACTCTCTTTCTCGCGCGAACAAGCTCGACGCGGCCCGGTTCCTGCTCGACGTTTCCCTGGTCGATCCCGTCTCCCTCCCGCCGGGTTATATATCCCGCTCTTTTAGCCGATCCTCGTCGTCGTTCCGAGCACACGAGACACGCGAGAAAGACTTTGGCGAGCTCGCGTTCCATCGCGATGCGCTGCGTGGAATTGGTTGCATTTCGGGGGATGAAGGGTGCACGGGAGAACGAGTGATGGGTGCTGCCAGGGTGGCGCGTGTCCTACTTTTGGATGGCGTGGCCCTATTGTCGATTAGTACCTACTAAGTTTGCGTTTCACGTTCTACGTGTTTGTAGTGTTCCATATATACCGAATCGTCGATAAGTGTCGCACAGATGGAACGCGCCAACTCCTCGTGCGAAGGAGGATTGAAAAGTCCCTTACTGTTTTGCAATCTGATGCCTCGTTTCGGAGATTCGGCGACTGTTCGATAACTATCGCGAGTTGTTGAGTATGGCGACAACGCATTTGATAAATGTACTACAAGATGGATTGGAAAAGGTTACAAGTGACGATTTTAGTTTAAAAGATAAACAGCGAAATGGAAGCTCGGATAATTGATACCGGATAAAAATGATGGACGGCCGCGGGATATTGAGAATATCTGAGACTGCCTTCTGTGGAATACTTTGGAAATAAACGTCGATGGGAGACGGATGTATACCTTCGGGATCGCGGATCAGGTTAAAACGAACGCGAAGATGGAAGACAGCCGCGAGAGCTAATGATCTGTTAGGCCTCGAGGTACTTATTGATCATTAACAAGTTAATTATCGATAAATGACACGCGTTGTAAAAGGACTACGGAAGAAGCAGTAGTACAAGTAAAAAATCTCAAAAAAGGAAGATACTAATTGGGTGCATTGTTGGTTGAGACATCTACAAATAAATAGAAAAAAGTGTGGTTACTTCAACAGCCAACAAATTCGCGTTCTTACGCTTTTCATCTCGAGCGAATCCAAACTAAAAACCCCATTCAGAGTCCACTCTAATTCGCGCAATTTATTCCCATCGTACATCACCATCTGCGCGTCTTTCCAATAATTTTACATAATTTATTCACGCAATGAATCATCGTATGTTTTGGCAACATTTTCCACGTTTTTCCAAAATGTCACGCAATTTATTCGACACGGTAGATCATCGCGCTTCCGTACATTTTCCATGCCGTTTCGATAATTTCATATAATTTATTCGCGTAGCCGGGAACACCCTAATACCACCTGTCCAGAGCGAAATTTGTCCGCTGGCGAGCACACGATGCAAATATTTGCCGGGTTTTTAATCCTGCTCGGACTGTCGCGATCACTTTATTGCCAGCATTATCATATATTAATGCGCCAGGCTAACGATCGGGGGAAAACAAATCGATGGGCGTGCGATTACGCGCTCATGAAAGTGATCTACGTGTTTGTACGCGCGCGCAAAACCTGATTGCTCTAACTGAACAACAACCGATTTGACCGATATTATACAAGCGAGCGTGTACGTGTACATAGCAGAACTATGGTTACACGTGTACCGCCAGCCATATTCATTCATAAGTTCCGTACTCGTGACAGCGGCGATGCATGTGTGTACTCTCGAGCACAATCGATTCCTACCAGTTTGTCCGACTTGGGCAGTTTGTTTTTCTTTTTTCACCTGTTTTCTAACCTATGTGATTTGAACCGTTTTCAAAGTTATCTAGTTAATGATGCTTTGCACGCAGAAATAATAGGAAACATCGCGATCTACGATCTGAATAAATTATATGAATTAAAAAAAGATCAGAATCGCCTTCCTAATTTCGAAAATAACCGATTTCATATTTGCATTCTTGTATGTTGTTTCGATAGACGGTTGAAAATTGGCAGGAAGGAAGCCTGACTAAAACGCGCAATATTTCCTGGGACATCCTAATAATTGCTACGCGGCGCTGAGGTTTCGTATCGTCCTGGCGAGTAAACGAGTTCTCTTTTTCTCTCAGCAAATTTCCGGGTGTAGTTACGTGCAAGCCATTAAAAATGCTTCTGCGCGAAAATCTCGCCTTTCGTTTCTGACCCGTGCACGATAAACATTTTACAAATGTAACAGCACACGCTGCTGCTTCGGGCATTCGCGCAACATTGTTGTGCACAGGACTGGCCAAAAGTCTCTCTCTCCCTCGATTCTCAAAAATCTTTATTTTGGTTCTAAAAATGCTACTTCAAGGGAATAAAACTCGAGTTGGAAAATTTGATCGAGCCTTTGAGCAATTATTTCAGGTATCCTGAACTCTCAAATGAGTCCTCTTCTACCGTAGAATATAATTTTTTTTCCTCCGTTACAATTGCAATTTGTGTTCCTATATTTTTTAACGAGGTTTCCGGCCAAAGGAAACGACGAAGTGACTTTTAGCCAACCCTATACTTGCGCATCTACGCGAACGGCGGGCGCATATATCAAAAACCGACAGACATTTCACGCACCCGGATAAAATACAAATTTATGACGGACTCTCGTCGTTCCTGGCCCCTGGTATCGTCGTGTTTAATGTCCGTCCATTGATTTGCTCCACTGACATCGAAATAAAATCCACGACACCGGGCGACGATAAAGAATTTCTTACCCGAGGAATCCACCCCCGCGATATATTATATCCGCAACGGAGTAGAGTCGGATGAGGAATATCGCGTAATTTATTTTTATCGTGTCTACCCGTTCCTGCGACCCTCTATATCAAAGGTTGCCCGAAAGAAACCCCAATTTAAAGGTTTTTACCGCATCCTGGCACGGTTACACCCCCTTCAACCCTCCGCGGGGACCCTTCATCAACCCTGCGACAGCTGTTAATTACGGAACAAAATACATACGCGACTTTATGGTAGCGGTACACTGTTGCTATCGAAAATCTAGTGGAAATTTTAACCGTTATCCTTTTTTTAACTCGTCGCGTGTTTTTGTTCATTTATTTTAATCAGGATCGAGTATCCAGGCGTTTACTCTGTTTTTTATACTTTGTTTTCGTTCGGGTTATTTTATTAGCGATACCCTACGGAAGGAAAATTAATGCGTTTATTTCATTCCACTTGTATGCATACAATTTTAAACAAAATTTCTTAATCAGACTTATATTTTTTTCTTTGTGTGCCACTCGTGTCTTTGCATTTACGGTATAGCAAAAACAAAGAATCGATTAACAAACGAAAAATGCTTAACAAAATAAACATACCGTTTAAATTATAAATATGAACGCATAAACAGGGTTACGCAACGCTTGCAGCTTTATCACTCGTTGCGGGCAGGTGTTAATTGCAAAATAAAATACGAGACCTAACCGAGGTGATATCGTTTTCAGTATCCACGCGAAAATCGAGTGAAAATTTTATCGGGCACCTTTCCCACTCGTCGCTATATTTATATTATCGTTGTAACTGGAAATTTTCATTCATTCCCTGCCTGCAGAGGCGCACCCAGTCATAAATAGGATAAAACTCTCGTATAATTGCACGCGTACACGGCCACCCCATGAACGCGCAAAAAAGGAACACGTCGGTCGGTGCTTTTGTTTTATCCGACGACGATTGCTTTCCGATGCGAGCAACCGTTGCGAATGAATTATTTATTCGTAATGAGCGCAAGCTGTCGCTCGTAATTCTCGCGAATTGCGATCAAAACGATCGGACGAGATTCGTTTAAAACCCCGTGACTTTTTGTCCACGCGGATTGATTTATTATTTAAATCGACGCTTCGGAGAAACGTGACCGCGGAAATCGCGTCGTCTCGTAAAAAACAGAAAGAGAGCACCGTCGTCGGTGTGTCTGACCACGGGATTTTGCATAATTTAATTTCATTTGTACGATACTTGGAAGAGGATCGAATATCGACTGGGAGATATTCTTTTAAAAGGGAACGAGTCGTTAATTGGCAATTCGTTGCTGGAAAGCGTAACAAACGTTTGCGCTTTAACAATTTATCCAGTTTAAACAGAAATTGAAACTAGTTTAATGAATTCTTATTTATGATGCTCTAGCGAATGTATGGAGAGTAGATTGTATTTTGAAGCTTTTAATTTTCGCTACGAGTTTCTCTCGTTGACATAGACCCAGGTCGGCCCATAGAAGCCATGTAACCGTTGACCATAAAATGGTTTTTTCTGCGTTCTAAAGTCCTCGACCGAGCAATGTCCTTCCCCCGCAGTTTTTGGCTTCCGTATCTTTGTACTTTAACTTTAACAATAAACAGTTCATATTTTTATTCTTCAAGCGATCGAGTTCATCTTTACTCTAAAATTAAAAATCCTCGATAAAATGTATGCCACTTTTTTTGCAACACGTTGCCCCATATGTCACGATCGTCCTCGAGGGTTGGACACCTCGTTTGGCTGATGGTTGTGCACCACTTCCACGACATACCGCGCAGTACCATTCCGCAGAGTGTGACGAGCTGTGTCTTTGACCCTCGTAAGCTTTGACCATGACACGATATAAACGAGTCGACAGTCAGCGCTTATTATCGTGTCATGAAGGTTTGTGTCGCGCGTTAGAACCGTGCCGACGTAGCTCCGCTACTGTCGCCGCGAAATGCCACCTAGATCTGTCAGAAATTAACATAGCGTCAAGAACGAGTCAAGTTATCCCACTGGATTCACGGAAACGTGACGCGTCGGAGAAGACAAATCACGAATGCATCGATGATGTCAACGCAGCATCCGTTCGAAAGCTGTCCACGGAGAATTACGTCGAAAGTGAACAAATACGCGAATAAAAATAATTTGAACGGGATCGTGTTTAATAGGGAATAAGCCAAGCACGTCACAGAAAAAGAAGGTATCTCGGTTTCTTCATTTTCATTTATTCTATATTTAAGTAAGTATTCGTCACTCTTAATCTTATTCTTGGAATGGCGTTCGTCGTCCACGTGAGCTTACGTGAAGTTCATTCCCATATTAATGCATCCAAGTTACAAGCTGCTGGAGGACTCTTATCGGCGCACGGATATCTGATAAATTAACACTGATAAATTCCACAGGTGACTCTAGACTTTTTCCGCGATGGACACGCGCGATATCGATACGACGATTCGAATCTTCCAAATAAAAGTTTCAATGCTGTTCTCTAGAACTGAATATTATAATCTCAAAAAGTATTAGGTTGTCCCAAAAGTTTCTTCCGTTTTATTAATAAGTAATACATACACAATATTTTATGTCTAATGTTACATTATTGAATTGTGTACGATTCATTTTGCTCCATTACTGTTACGACATCCACATCTAAGAAATTGTATTGTCTATTTATATAAACACTACCGTACAAAATAATTGAGTGCAAATTACGAAAGAAACTTTTGGGACAACCTAATATTACACTCTTCAGAACCAAATGCAAATTTGAATTTCTGGACTTTCACAACTACTGGACGTTACATCAAGGCATCACTCCGATAGCCTAATTCTTTTCCCCATTGTCCTCGAATAATATACATATCCAAAATAAATGCCATATTTTCCCATTCGCAATTGAAAACAGCTCTGCAGATCAACTTAAAATATTTAACTACGCTAATTTCTCCGTTTCCGGGCGCGCAAGAATGAATCGAACGGCATTGTTTCGATACAGGCGCGCGTAATTATGCAAACGCGGCACAAATGCTTTCATTACACGTAGCTCGCCGCGCGAGGAGGCTCGCTATCGGCGACGGCGATTTCTTACCTGTGTCACACGCGTGACACGCTTGCGAAATCCGCGTTGCTTGGCCGAACGTTGGAGTGGTTCGCTCACTTTTTGCCAACGAACAGCGCGATCGACGTTAGCAAGAAACGAAATACACCGCGTAATTCGACCGCCACCGCTGCTGGCATCGTCCCACGACGCAGTTAAGATCGGCCTCAACGGTTCGCCTTCTGCTGCACCGTCGAGCGTGCCTCTCCTAATAGCGAACCGCGGGCAATCAAGCAAAAATTACTGGAATCTCGCGACCCTGGCGCGTCACGAGACCCGCGAACGCTCTGGAGCCTCGTCGATAGAACTTTTCAACGATCCTCGTGATCCGTGATCGTTCTAGATCGAGCAAGTTCTGTTGAAACGTTTGTAGGGAGCTTTATCGAGTATGGGACTTAGATTGTAGACTGAGGTGGATGAAGTCGCGTTGATATAGATAGCGATGGGAGCACCTTGTAGTGGTTTATTTTGTAGGTTTATCAAATGTAAAAGTTTATTTTATTTTTGGTATTTGGATTGTGATCTTTTAGAATAATTAAAAAATTGGCGCTATTATGACTTACCAGAACAGCTTCATACACAGCCAGAATTGCTCGATGAGGATCCCATTGAACACCTGTACATCAAGAGAAAGAAATAGTTAGGAAAAGCTGATTTAATAAACTGCACGTTCTACATCCCATTTTATTTTATTTTAATTTCATTTGCATTTTATTTTCATTTTATTTCCACTCAATTTCTGTTTCAATTTCGCTGCACTTTCATTTTTATTTCTATTTTAACCGGACAGTTCAATTGTTAGATTTCTTATACGATGCCATGTCTGTTAATTTTTTTATTTATTAACCATTAGAAGGCTTCCCAAATTGAATTTAAAAAAATATTATTTTATTTATTATTGCTGACGTTTACTTCTTTAACTTTTGTTCGAAAGAACATTATGCAATGGTAACATACACACAGTCAAATATTTAAATCAATTGCGAGTGTACAATTTGATTTAGAAGTCCGGTATCAAATTTGAAACTTAGGGCATTTAAAGGTTAAGAAAATGTTTTATGTAATGAGTTATGTGCATGTACAATAAGTACAAGTGAACGTACATGAAGTTGTAATTTGGTTTGCGTTAGATAAAACTTGAACTGCGTTGAGTCGTACGTTAACTATGCCAGTGGAATGCAGAGGGTTAAAACGGGGGCCAAACATCTTTACGAGGCGACTGAGAGATCGTTGCGGCTAACCACGAATGATGCAAATCCCAGTATTTACAGAAACGACTTGGTCGTCGATGACCTCCGATCAGCGACGAGGAGAATGACCGTGTGAATTGTGATTTGGTAGAAAATCGATAGAGTGTAGTCATAGGGCGGTGAATCAATGCCTCAACGGCGACCACTTGTATCGTGTTACATGCTACTGAACTCCGAGTACCAGTAACTATTGTCTCCTGAACGCGAGGAAGAAAATCTACGTAATTAATATAATGTACGAAGAAACGATTGGAAACATTGAAACACAATTTTAAACTGTCCTTCTACATCCCATTTCATTTTATTTTAATTTCATTTGCATTTTATTTTCATTTTATTTCCACTCAATTTATATTTATATTTCGCTGTATTTTTACCTTTATTTCTATTTTAACCGAACAGTTCAAGCTTTATATTTCTCACCGCGAAATACTTTATTCGATAATGCAAATCCCGAATTTGTCGATCGTTGATCGAAAGACTGCTAGGAGAAGCAGCAAAAGAAATCGCGAGCAACCTACGCGCTTATATCGAGCACTCGATCGATTCCCAGTGTCTGCTCGATGCGGGCGAACAGTAAAGTCTCTTATTGGTCACGAGTCAGTGACCAATCATCGACATTCCGATTCTGTCTGATTGCTCATGCGAAAGCAAATCTACCCTTCGGTCGTCGTGTACATTTCCAGATAGAGCTCGAGAACGCGAGGAAAACTTCATTCTGCGAAGACCAGTTATACGTAGAATACATTCATTAAATTTAACTCGATTTTAATCAGTGGATAATTTTTTTTATAATCCTTAAATGAATATAACTTTGGAAACGAAATTGAATATCTTAATATGATTTTTTTTTTTGGATGAATATTCACAACAATATCAAGAAAATCGAATAATAATAAATATGTACAATCACCTACAATCCAACTAAAATAAATGCCTAAATTACCACCGACAAATGCCTAATTGTATTTCCCTTGGAGCACACGAAATACCGTCGTAATAAAATAAATAACAAGCTCGTAGCTGGTATCTGCGAGGAAATATGGCGTCGGGAATTATTTCCGTCTAATATCGCCGCGGCAGTTAAATGAGAATCGTCGCTAGAGTAATATCCAATCCAGCAGTGACATATGTACACAACAATGCACGAGTGTCTACGATGATCGAGCCACGATATCAGTGACCAGTGTCCAACATCTGAATTCCAGATATTGCCGGGAAAAAATTCGCCTGTAATTATCAGTCCAGTCTTATCGAACTGATCCCCTTAGCCAGCGATAGCCAGCGCATGATCGAGCCAGAGCTCGACCAAATGGAGTGAAACTCGATGGAGTAGAATTCCTCGACCCTTTCAGGGTGTAAGGTTCAATAAACTCAGACTGACCTTGCTAGGATCCATCATTGTTACTTTCAAGGAGAAAGTTTACGTTTAATACTGCAACTCAATCCCTTGGATTCCAATGGAGTGCCTGTCGAAATTTGTATAGCATGTTGGCTGTAGAAGTTCTTAGGTTGAATATGATACGTACATTCAGAGGAAAGGTAATTTTAGAACAGACCTAACCCAAACCTATTCCTCATCGATACGAAGCATGTAGAGTCCAGAATATAGAGTCCTCGTAATTGACCCTGGCACATCGAATCTATTTTAATTATTAACACCTTCAGACTAAATTTATTTCAAAACTACTAAATAATTTTGTTTGGAACAATAACTGCCATTGAGACTTGTTGACATGGAAGGGCGACCAACTCAAAACTCAATATAGTTAATAGGAAGCATATTGAAGCATATTCCTAAGACATCCCTAGATCCTCTATGAGCCCTACAGATCAGGCACTCCAACATCTGCAAGTGTCTAAACAGCAATCCATGCTTCCAGTAGCAAGCATCAAAGGTCTTTCTCTCTCCAGCGAATCCTATACCGACTGTGATACGTGCAGAGGATCTGAGGGGTTGAAACAGGAGGAGCAGGTCTCCCGGTTCCCGCCATTGGGAGTTCCACCGAAGAAGTACGCGTCAAGGCACCAGACACACCCTGTATCTCAAGAACTCCCCTTATTCAGAGTCCGTAGTTCTAGCACGCTGCGGGACTATATCGGTATCCTAGCGTGCGTTCAAACTGAGATCAATAAAGCGCTCCTTTATAGACGTCACTACACACGCTCTGTACAAGCTTGGCCAACTCTCCCTTCTACACGTCCCCACGTCCGACGTGTGCTCTCTTTCTCGCTCTCGCGCGTGCACACACGTAAAGAGTCAGGCTCTGCCACCTCCCTTAAAATCGCCACCCCCAGTCGTGGCATCGGAGCGCACCGCTGCCCTCCTGCCACGTAGCAACCCCCTCGACCCGCCATCGCTCCAAACCCCGCGCTCTGGCAACTACGAGGCCATAAATAACCGAATGACCCACCGCGAATAACAAGCCCGCCAACGTGACGAGCTCCGGCGATCCGAACACCCGTTATACCGTGCAAGTTAACCTGGAACAGATCGCCACGATATACTATTGAAGAGTGGACTTGGGGAAGAGGGGTGCCTACCCGTGGACTTTTGGTTTGTCGTAGAGAAGTTCTATGGAGGACTGATTGGTAGGGAGAGAGGGTTGAAGAATATGGGACACGTGATTACTTTGTATCTTTAGATTTTTGGGTTGTTAGGTCATCGAGGAGCTGTTGCAGTGAAGGGTTAATTCTGGTACCATATAGGGGTTGAAAATAGAAGAATTTTGGGACTCTTGACATTGGCAGCAAGTGCATGGGTGGAAAAGAAGTGTATGACTCTTTGTGTCCTTAGGCAATAGGGGTGGGTTTGAACAGGTAGAATTTCGTGAAGAAGGCTAAGACAATCTTAACTTATTCTACCACCCAGTATAGTACTCTAATAGTCCATACCTACTCCATTACTTTATAACTTTATCCTTATCTAAAGAATATTAAAATCTCTTGACACTAAAAGTCACCAGAGCAGAAAAGAGCTCTTGCCACCATGTCTCGTTACACTACACTATGAATAATACTTCTCATTATCGTTCACCCGAAAAAATTTTTACCACAATTCACTCTCGCCTTACGCGCAAGTTTAAAAAAGGATGCTTCGGTCGCAACCCTTCTAAACAACCGTTTAATCAGATAAACATGGCGAGGCAGATCGAATAATGTTCTTCCCATCTCAGACGGGGATCGCGTAATCGGAAGGGACATCAGCAACGGATTCATAGCGCGCCATTAATCACGGCAAACGAGAGGAAGCGGAACTCCAGCAGACGAAAGACGGGATCCGTTACCAGGGAGCCACTCTGTGTGGCAATTAGGCGTACCGAGGGAAAGAGATTGTGCAAATTATTAAGACATCGAGATATTAATAGCGCGATATGTTTTATAATAGTCGCGAACCAACGCAATTACCCGTCCCGCGGCTGTAATTCAATTCGCAAAGGAAGCGTACCCCGGGCGACTGATGCATCCGGCACATTTCACTTTTCGCCGATGGAAAACATTTTCTCAACCTCCCGCGTGTGTGCACGTCGTAATTAAACAGGTTCTACGCCCCGTCGTGTAATTACGTAATTATCGTATTGCGGGATTGGCGAACTAATAGTCCACGGGGTTGCTCCCCGCGAGAGCGTAGTGCTAAACTGTTTGGGATCAAGTGGAAATTATCGGACGAGTAACCAGTTGCCGTTGCACCTTGATACGGTACTCTGGGTTCAACAAACGTGTTCAGAATTGAACTGAAATTGTTTCGTGACGAGTGAAAATTGTAGTTGATATTATAACGAACATAGAAATTGCTTGGAACTGGTTTGTATGGACCTGTTGAAGATCAATATACATATCAATCAACATATATAGGTATCTAGTCCCATCTTTCCTACTTATTGTTCTGGACGTGAAATATAGCGCTAACTGTCGATAGCAAGACAGAGTGTGCCCTCTTCTGTCTTTTTTTTTTTTTTTTTTGAAACCTTAACATAGATTTAGACGTTAGTTCGTTATTGTACGATACACTACGTTGTGTCGCAATATGCACAACGCAATGTGCCCGTAATGTAGCAAACCATTATATTACAAACTTAAATGTCTATTCCTAATTTACTTTTATATTAAACAAACACATATTATATAAACGGGAAATATATCACAATATATACTAGCAGCGCCGCAGTAGAATATTAACAATTCTGAAGAGTCTTTGATCTAAAAAATGAATATATTGGAGCAAGGTGACACTGCTCCAAAAATATTGTCCCAAAGTTGAACTCCTACAGGGTTAAAAGAAACAGAAGTATTTAAATGTCCCTGTATCGCTAAGATATTCACAGGATTCGTGACAGCGGATAATTTCTTCAGTTCCTAGTCGACG